AGCTTATCGGAGGCTTGGGTGGGGAGAAGGAGAGGGGAGGAAGAATTCTGGGCGGGCGGGGGGGGGGGGCCAAATTTAAGGGAGGCACGAATTCTCCAGCATTTAATTCTCACAGAGGTTAGCAGTAGGTAGTCATAGAGTGGTAAGTTAAAAAGAGTTAAAAGTAAGTAATAAAGTTAAAATAAATTTAATAAGTAATAGTATAAGTGGCAAGTAATAAAGTTGCAGATTAAAGTGCCAATTTCGCGCCAGTGCTCACTCACATCGATTTCGCAGACGAACTTTTCCATTTAATCTCCCGTTGTGGTCGTGAACGAATAGCGAACCCCTTTTAGCTGACCTTCGGCTGACCTTCCCTCCCGCGTCCTCCTCACCGGCGCGTCCGACGTTTTCAGGTGGTCGCACGCGGCGACAGAGCTTCAGAACGTCTACGACAACCTGACGGGAGACGTGCTCATAGCCTCGGGAGTGATCGCTTACCTCGGCGCGTTCACCGCCGCCTTCCGGCAGGACTGCATACGTGACTGGATCCACACGACCAGGGTGAGCTCATGCACTCCCTCACGCTCGTCGAGATCGACGGCCGACCTACTTCTACTAACTACCGATCAATAAAAATATAAACTCTCCAATCACTAGGTTGATCACTAGAATTACTCGAAGTTAAACGCTATTGCAATCATTTGCGATGACCATGAAAAAATGTGAAAAACGACGAGCGTCCGTCGCAGATATTGTTTGCTGTCGTATGATGTTGCCGCGGTGGTGGCTGGTAGGCGGTCTGCGACCTACGTGATATTTGTCAACGTTAGTGGCGTGATTCCAGGCGATGGGCATCTCCTGCTCCGCGGACTTCTCTCTGAGTCAGACGCTGGGAGAGGCCATCAAGATTCAAGCGTGGAACATTGCTGGCTTGCCCTGCGATGCATTCTCTATCGACAACGGCGTCATCATCGCCAACTCGCGACGATGGTAAGCGCTGCGACGTCGATCGCCGTACAAGTCATGCTCGAGCTGCCCCCCACGGAATTGCACGCTTGGCCTGCTCCACTAGCAGCGCTGCACATGCACACTCGTTGCTTTCTCGCAGGCCTATAGCCATTTCACAATGTCAAGAGTGAGCTCATATTTTATTTATTACTGGCCAACATGAACCCCTAGCAAAGTTTTAGGTAGACTCACAGTTGACGCGTTCGACACTTGTTTTATTACAGCTCAATTGTCTAACATTGTTGTGCTCTTGTTTTATCACAGGCCGTTGATGATCGATCCTCAGGGACAGGCGAACAAGTGGATCAAGAATTCGGAGCGAGACAACAAGCTGAGCGTGATCAAACTCACTGACCCGGACTACATGCGAACACTAGAGAACTGCATCCAGGTGCGTTACTGCATGCTCTCTAGCCACTCAAGGTCAAACACCCTTCCCACGATCGCGTGGGAAGAACGTAGACTGATGGTGGTTAAATTAATAGATGTTTAGCACGTGTACTAGACTAATATACCAGACTACAATTTTAGCATATTTTGACGGTTAAACTTAACTAACTAACGTGGTTTTTCAACTAGTCTAAACTTAGTATACTAACTTCGGCATCCTAACTTTAACAGTGTAACAACTTGGGTTAACAAGAACTTAACATTATAGTAGTACTTTAGACGTCATAGATTGTAACTTTAACAGTTTAATAATTAGAAAGATTTATAATTTGGTTTCTAACTTTTTCAGTGTAACAACTTAAACAGGTTAACAAGAACTTAACATTATAGTAGCACTTTAGACGTCATAGATTGTAACTTTAACAGTTTAATAATTAGAAAGATTTATAATTTGGTTTCTAACTTTTTCAGTGTAACAACTTAAACAGGTTAACAAGAACTTAACATTAGTAGTATTTTCCACGTCATTAGTGTAACACGTGCATGGTGTGCCATGTTGTAGTTTGGTCAGCCTGCATTACTAGAGAACGTTGGGGAGGAGCTTGATCCATCACTAGAACCACTGCTGCTGAAGCAGAACGGGACGCGTTTCCACATCGACGCGAGGGATGTTGCTGCGGGGCTGACAAGGGACAAGCGGATGGGGTGTGCGTCGTTTGCTGGAAAGCACGAGTGGGCGCGCGAGACGGTCTCGGTACGAAACGGCAACGTCACGCGCGCAACACCGTTTCCGATCTCGAACCCGTATTTTTTCCTGCAGGTGGCAGTTATGAAGATAATCCGTAAAGATTACTGCACGAACCCGGAGTTTGACCCAACCAAGGTCGCGAAAGCTTCCTCTGCTGCCGAAGGCAAGTTGCATCCATGTTTCGCTGTGTAGACGCTAAGTACAGCATGCTTGCAGGGGGTAGAAAAGGTCACTCTCGGGGTTAAGAGGTCAGTGATCAAGTGCACCCCGTGTAATGCTATTTCGTCGTCGTTGACGCTTGTGGGTTTATGATCGTGTTAGTTCTCTCGTTGACATAGCTTGTCTCCCACGAACGTTACCGTGGTATATCCTCAGGTCGATTCCATCATTGCTGACCTTTCGCGGGGTTTCTATCATAGCACTTGCTCTCCGGTCAACACATCTCGAAAGTTTCACTGTTTTATCAGTATGGGTTCATTTCGTCCTTGTCGATCGACCCTTTACAATCATCATCATCATCTTCATCATCATCATCATCGCACTCGTCCTCTCCCTAATGCATCACGAGCGTCGCCGTGGTAACCGCACGCAGGTCTGTGCAAGTGGGTGTGCGCGATGGAGATATACGACCGCGTCGCGAAGGTCGTCGCTCCGAAGAAGCTGAAGCTGATGGAAGCTGAGGAGCAGCTGTCGACGACGATGCAGCTGCTCAACACGAAGCGCGCCGAGCTCGCGGAGGTCGAGGCGAAGCTCAGCAACCTGAAGAAACAGTTCCACGAGGCGAGTGCATTATATACCTCATACCTCATACCTTATATTGTCTTTTGCTATATATTTTGTCTTGTAATTTAAAATTTCCCTTAACCGTGTAATTTAATTTTGGCTATAATATTGGCCCGTGGAGGTATTTTGTAATGTGATACGTTTTATCGATCACATTCAGTAATTTAGCTCAAGGTTAGCTACACCTCATATACATAATATCAGGGGTTAATAATGACAAATTTGGTCATTATTAACCCCTGGTAATATGAGAACATTATACTCATATGTACTTAATGCAATACACTCGCTTTACAGAATGTTTAATCTCAAGAAATGTTTACTACATCAATAAATTATTCTTGGAAACTCCACTGACGTTAGTGTGATAGTAATTGTGCTGAGGCACGTTTGAGAGTTAGACAATATTGTGTGGGATAGTGCCTCTCACCCACGTGTTTCCATCTGTTGACTTTGTATGTTAATGGCTTCAGTTGTTTTTCTCCATCAGGTTACAGAGAAGAAGAAGATGCTGGAGTTCCAGGTGGATCTATGCGCAAAGAAGCTGCAGCGAGCGACAAAGCTTATCGGAGGCTTGGGAGGGGAGAAGGAGAGGTGAGGAAGAATTCTAGGCGGGCGGGGGGGGGTGCAGATGTAAGGGAGGCACGAATTCTCCAGCATTTAATTCTCACAGAGGTTAGCAGTAAGTAGTCATAGAGTGGTAAG